ATACTATGTACTTTAATGAAATATAATTTTTTGGACTGGCAGGAAATGAAAGGTTAATAAACATACATACATGTTTTGAGTTTAAATCATAGGGAATGAAGACTTTTAGAAGTTATAGTTTTTCTATTTTTCTTTGTAGTTTAAAAGTTTTCTAGTTTTGTTATTTTTAGGGATTTTGTTAAATATAGTAAATTTCAGGATGAGTTCGAGAATGCCAACGAGGGAGGGGTTAGAGAGATTAGAAACTTACGCCAAAATAAAAAAAATCCTTTTATGCATCTAGTATAGAAAATAAACAGGAAAGAGTGCTACTTTCTTAAATCCAGGGTTTTACATTTTTTTTCCTTTTTCTCTTTTTCTTTTTTTTGGAGTTCTCATTTGTAAAAATTATACATATATGAAATGCATTACTCTCTGATCATGGATTCATTTACTTAATTCCTCAATTTCAAATACCTAAATTTCTTTTTTATTGTTTGCAGATGTTAAACTTTAAAAAAAATCCAGAGTTCAGGGGTAATGCCATCAGAAGTTGCCAAAAATTTTCCCAAGAAACTCCAGGAAACATTGAGGAAGCCAAAAGGATCGCAGTAAGTCCACAGCTCTGGTTTTCTCCTAACCACCCTTTGTGACTGGCTTGTCACACAAGCAACCTCTTTGTGCACTGGCTTGTCATGCTGCCGGTAACTACAAGTGTTGTCATTAGGGATGTTAATCACACAAGTATGAGAATGGAGAAAGAGTGAAAATCAAGAAAAATCATGTTATAAAGTTACACATTATAAATAAAATTAAATGTCAAATAATGTGGCAGAGCCACAAGTAGTGCATTTAAAGTTATCTTAGTTTACCACTTGAATTTTATTTACTCTGTTGAAAACTTTGAACTCATTTGAACAGCTTAGTTTAACAAATATATTCACATATATATCTAGTAAGTTTTCATTATCACTAGTCTAGGTAAGAGACATTAACCCAGCAAGCATTTTAAATTACACTTGAGTTTCCTGTATGAACTTGGCAGTGAACAGACACCGAAACTTCCAAATTCAAGCCGTGCTCTTTCCACACTTGTGCACCATCAGAAAGGTTGCTGAGCCGCTGTGAAGAGGCCATAGATCCCTTAGACTGAGGAGACCACATTCATTAATGCCAGGTCTTCTTCATGATGTCTTTGTGTTTATTTATATTTACTATTGTAAAATAACCTAAAATGAGTACAGTTATGAGCAATCTCTTCTTTACATTAACATAACGTTTATTTAGCACAGTTTGGGAGACTAGAAGATCAAGATCAAGACTGTTGCAGTCTCACTGGTAGGGGAAGACCAATCTCTTGCTCAGATGTCACATAGTGGAGCGGACAAGGGAGTCCTCTAAGGCCTCTCACAGTTGTTATGCTAATTCTATTCATGAGACCCCTATCATCATGACCTAATCACATCTCAAATGTCCCTCCTTCTAAGACTAACATCTTGGGTGTTGTATATGAACAGGGGGCGTGGGGCACAGATTTTCAATTCATAGCACTGTTTATGTTCTAACCACAGAATTTCTTCTTTTTTTTTTTTTACTGAGCTTTTAAAAATTTCATACAATATTTCCGACTCAAATCCAGACCCCCTCCCCCATCCATGCCTCCCCCTATGCCCCCACTGAACCCTCTGCACTCTGCCATACATGCTGAGTCCTAGTCATTCAGGTGTTTGTACCCAAATGTCCTTCAGTGTAAATGCGTCCCAGTAGAGTCTAGTCAGTCCATCCAGTGGTCGTATGTGAGTCATACTCTCCCTCACTCAGCAGCAATCAGTCTCAAATAGTACTCAGTCTAGTGCTGACCCACCATCTATTTCTCACCTCCCCTTTGGGCCCTTCTTTAATTGAGCTGACATGGGTCCCCTGCTTGATGCCACCCCTGCCACAGGCTCACATGAGCAAGCCTCCAGGGGCCTGGAAGCCTCCATCTCCCTGTGTTCATCCTATACTCTACAGTCTCTTATTCTCCAAAACTTGGCCAGTTATGGCCTTCTGCATGTAACTCACTTGATGTACATGGAAGCCTCACTGGTGAGAGTTGAGGGGTGCCTTAGCCTTCTCTCTACCCCTTATTCCTCTAGGTTCCAAGAGCCTTAGTTGTAGAGATTCAACTGCAGATGTGTCCCCTAGTACTGGGCATCTCCCAGGCATATCTAACCCCAGAATTTGTGACCATGTCACTGAAAAGGATGTTAAAGATGTGATTAAATGTAGGTTCTGATAATATGAAGAATATTTTAGACCTCTAAGAAATCTCAAACTATTGACTGAGTCCTAATAAGAGATAACGGAAAGATCAGGAAGTCCTCGAGGGTCAGGGGGATGTGAGAGTGGTCTCAGTGGTCAGAACTATGCCATCCTGGTTTTGAAGATGGAAAAGAGCAATGAATCAAGGAATGTATCAGACTTAGAAGTTATATTAAGTTCAGAGTTTCAGTCTTCCTTAGAGAGTCTGGAGGGAAGCCAGCGCTGCATACACCTAGATCTTAGTTCACTGAGACTTCTGATTTCTGTAACTAGAAGACAATCAGTCAACACTGTCTTTTTAGTAGCAGTAGGAAACTAATACAGCAAGATGTAGTTCTGAGGCTCCTACTGACTGTGATAACTCACTCTAGCCTGATTTGTTTTAGAATGAAGCATATACATCCATCCATATATATACTCTGAGTGACAGGCAAGTTTGTGTCATTGAATGATTGAATACAGTTTTGAGGCCAGCTGTTTCTAAAGAAGCTCCTTTCTTTCCCTTCTTTCTTTCCTTCCTTCCTTCTTTCCTTCCTTCCTTCCTTCCTTCCTTCCTTCCTTCCTTCCTTCCTTCCTTCCTTCCTTCCTTCTCCTCCCCCCTCCCCTCCCTTCCTTTCTCTAATATTTATCTTCAATTCTGTTACCTAACTTTTTCAGCTATCTTAATCTGTGCTGCAAAGTACTTCTTTCAGAATCAATATCTTTACTTTAAATGTTGCTGTGATAAAATACCTCCTCTGCTAAAAAAGCAATTTATGGGAGAAGCTTTATCTTTACTCATAGTTAGAGATTACAGTCTGTCATTTATAGAAGTCACAGTGGCAGATGCTTGAGGGAGCTGATCACATGCATCCACATTCAAACAGAAGTAATATAAGTTATTAGTGTTATAAATGTGAGTTAATTGACTTATCAATGATACTGGTGGCATCTATTTTTCCTAAATCAGGAAATTATTGAGTCCCAGTAGAGGCTTTGGTTCACATGTAGAAGAGAAACAAGGACTTTTATCTATAAACGAATTGACTTCTCCCCCAAGACTTACAACTGGTATACATGCTCAGCCTCACTGGAATATAAAGCATGTGAAACCAATCCTTCTGTCTTTCACTTCTGTTAATGTGGTCACTCAATTATGATTGCTTAGGTTGAAGACTTCCTGAAAATCATAGTCAGGCCTTTGCGCTTCTGGAATGACACGCTTCACCATCTAGTGAGTGAGCTCAGCATTATGCCCGAAGTTCCCACTGAGATCCTATCAAAAGTCGAAGACATTAAGACCAGAAATGAAGATCTTCTGGAGCTTATCAGATGGATCATCAATAAGGTGAGCAGCACCCGTACGTTTCTTTTGTATGCTTTGTTTGTTTCGGGGTTTTGTTTTGTTTTTGTTTTCCTGAGATAGGGTCTCTCTTTGTACTCCCAAGTGGCCTTAAACTCGCTATGTAGACCAAACTGGCTTCCATCTTACCGAGATCCACCTGCCTCTGCTTCCTGAGTGCTGGGACTAAAGGTGTGTGCCACCACACCCAAACATCTCTTCACTTTTCTTGTTCTTGAAAGAAGTTGCTTCTGAATTGAATGATAAACGTTGAATCGCCTCACTTTGCAAGAGCAAAATGTAGGCAACCACTCATGTATGAAGCCTCCTCACTGAGGAAGGCCATAGATTTTTAAAATCAGAAAATTAACATATGAGTCCTGTTTCTGAGTATCATATTTACAGTGCCCTGAGCCGGACACTTGAAATCCCTCGCTTATGATTGAGGATTCACATTTTTAATAATGTCTCCATAAATCTAATAGAGTATTTACATGAAAAAATAATGTACAAATAAAAGTGTAAACAGTAAGTGACTATCATTTTGGTCATTAGGTTTTTCCTGGAGTAGAAGAAAATGAGATGCTTCCTGTCAACCAGGACCTTGTACACTTCCAGACAGCTGATCAAAACGCTCGCATTGCCACACTTCACAAATTCAACTTCTGCCTGGGCATTGATACAAACTCCATTGGACTTTATCTCAAGCTCATGAAGTGTGTGCTCACTGGTGGCAAAAAATGCCACTCCATAGGGTTTTGAGATCATATTTGTTGATCTTTACTTTTGGAATTTTGTTTCATTATATACTGTTTGAAAATATGTTTCAGTGTGATGTGTCTTTTTTAAAAAATAAAAATAGACCAATATGTCAAATTGTAATAATCAAACTTGTCAGTTTCTTTAGTTCATTTAGTACTAAATGTATCAACAGCATTAAAAGCCTGCTATCATTAACAAGAGATGTTTGATTGACCAATGAGAAAATTTACAGCTTAATTTAGAATCACAGTAAATTGGTATGGGTCGAGTTCTTAGGATCAAAGAATAAGATCACTATCAGAAGTACAACCCTTTTACTAAAAGCCTTGGAAATATTGGAATACCTTACAAAAGCCAACAGTTTCTAAAAAAATTTAATTTATTAATCCTTATTTTGTGTGTATGAGTGTATTACCTGTATGTGTGTAAGTCACCTGTGTTGAGCAATGCCTGTGGAGGAGGGCTTCAGATCCCTTAGAACTAGAGTTATGGATGGTTGTTATCAGCTATGTGGGTGCTGTGAACCAAACCCAGGTCCTCTGAAAGAGCAGCCAGTGATGCTAAGTACATTCCACTTATCTTTCCAGCCACCAAAGTCAGCAATTTCTATGTCAGTTTTCATAGTGAAATGACAAAGTACAATTACCTTTAACTATGCTATGAGTGACAGATAAGTACATTTAGAACAGAGCTGGTTAGGGCACAAGTGTGAAATGGCTCAAGGTTTCTCTAAAGATCTTCGGCCATACTCCCTGAGTTCCCGTTCCTCAGCATCATCTTAGACATGCTGAATGTGTTCTTTTGCTCTGCATCTAGCAATCTCTTTTGGTCTAATTTTGATTCAATCACATATTCAAATATTTAGTACATTCTCGTGCCTCTTGTGGCTCCTACTGCATTTTGGGAAAGGCAGAGATCGTTTCTGCCATCCTTCTTCCTTTCCTGCTTTTTGATAACCGTTCCCTTGATGTTGTCGGAATGGGAGGGACAGTGAGGGAAAAGTAAACACTACCGTTACTTATTTATGTGGCAGTATCTAAGACCCATAGCTGACAAGGCTTCTATTTGAATTCTCTCTCAGTGATAAATGCCCTTCTCATGGGCACTCCAATGTGGCATGGCCTGAAAACTTCTATTTCCCTATGCTCATGGACCAACCCTGGCTCTTACAGTCTTTCCGCCCCCTCTTCCGCAATGGTCCCTGAGCCATAGGGGGTGAGGTTTAGTATAGGAGTCCTAGCCAGGGACACAAACTCTTCAGTCTCTTATCTTCTAAATCTTAGCCAGTTGGGGTCTTCTGTGTGCATTGAATTCTGTTGTTTAAAGAGGCTTTGCTGGCAAGAGTTCAGTGATGCGCTAGTATTTTCTCCACCCCCTGTTCTGCTGTGTTCCATGAGCCTTAGCTGTAGAGGTTTCACTGTAGTTGTGTCACCTAGGACTGTACATCACTCAGACAAATTCTCTGTGTGTGATCAGTTGTGTAACACTGCAGTAGCCTCCATCTGTTTCAAAAACAGGACTTCTTTGATGAGTGGTATGCCGTATTCTTGCCTGTGAATATAAGGATCCATAATTAGCATATGGTAAGAAATTTCATTTATCTAGCAATATCACAGAGATAGGGTTCTCTTTAGGATCTATGCCTTGACCAGTTCTCTATTCTTTCTACTTAAATTGATCCTGAAGAGGTCAGAAAGGCAGGTCATTAGCACGTACCCATCCAAGATCCAATATATACCATTCTCTGCTCTTTGGAATTTCATGACTAGTTTTATTGAGGAACAGTCAACTTAGAGTCAGTCACATAAGCATTACTTAGTAGGACACGAATCTTAATACCCTAACAACTGAAGTCAAAATGCTTAATATTCTATTTATGTAAACTGGAGAGCAGCGATTGGGAGATGGGAGCTCAGCTTGCCAACCACTTCTTAGCATCTTGGAATGAGGGTTCATCTCACTGTCAGATCTCACTGTCAGATCTCAACACATAACAAGATTTAAGTTACTTCTCTTCTTCAAGAAGCATGAATAGGATCTCTATATTCCTTTCACCTTTTGTCTAGCTTTTCTTTTATAATAGAGTTTTGACCTGGAGTATCCCTAAAAGCTTATGTTTTGAAATTTTGTTTTTAAGCTTTTGGCAGGACAGTGATGTGGTGGGAAGTTTAGAAGTGGGAAACTTTCCTTATCTCACATGACTTCCAATGGTTAGTTTGAGCCAAGAACAATGGAGAACAGGCAGTTCTCACCTGCCACCCAGGTGTTTCTTCACAGTGCTCCCTGGTTCTCATGCTTCCAGGCTGCCCTGTGGCCACTGTTCATCAGGCAGAGCTGCTGATATAAAGGGTGCTTGGGTAGATGAAAAACATCTAGCTTCACATTTGCCTAAGGACTTAGGTTTTTCTCCAGGATTTATGACCTCTCCAGCCAGGTGTATCTGGCTATGTTTACAGTACTACACATGAGTTTCTTCCCGTTGAGTAGGCTTTAAGTCCAATTAAGTAGCTGTTGATTACCCCCCAGATAAAAGTGCCACTATTGCACCAATAGAGATAGTTTACTGTGCACGTTGTTGTGTTTATTAGGCTTTACGGCTGGAGTTGGGTCATTGATTGAGTTTCTCCCTTAGCATCTTGAATAGAATCCTCTTTGAGAGCTAATATTCAGGGATTCCAGAGTGTGTGTCCCTCCATAGAAATCCTGTTTTAAACTTCTGCCACCCAGGGCTCAGTGACCATTGTGGAAAGGGGGGCAGAAAGACTGTAAGAGTTAGGGGTGGTGGGTGACCACAAGGAAAAGAGTTTTCCAGATGGCTGGGAACTTGGTCACATGAACTTACAGTAATGGTGACAGAATGCACAAATCAGACAAAACCCATAAGAGGAGTGGGGAAATGAGTAAAAGCCCCAACTTTAACTGAGTAATTATTGGTAAGGTATCACTGCTGAGTGAGGGAGAGGTGGTTTTCTTTAAGGGAGTGATGCTAGGTAGCTTTACCAGTCTCCAGTGGATAAACTCATACTGAGGGGCATCTGGGAACTCAAACTTGACTGCTAGGCCTTAACATACATGACAGAATGCATGAAATCCAGAGATGGGTATAGAGGAGCAGAGAGGGGAGAGTTTCTAGATATAATTAAGATGTATTATATGAAATGCATAAAATTCAATAAAAAGAATGAAAAATCCAGCTTTGAAGTCTCTCATTTCTTTACACAGATATATGTCCATCTTCCTGTCATCCCCTGAGAGACCAGTCTCTATGCCTGACACAGAGTGTGAGCCCAAGAAGGAAACCCAAGACATACACAGTTTCTTTCACTGGAGGAAAGTGCATGATGACTAAGTGTGATAATTACTAAACACGGGAACTGTGACATCATTTTCATGTTCACAGCTCTGTGCCTAAACACATGCACTGCTTGTCAGGGATCTAAACGTATTTTGATATTTTTCACTCACCAAGCACCCTTTATATCAGCAGTTCTATCTCTACCTGTGAGGTAGTGACCACAGTGCAGCCTGAGAGGTAGTGAGCACAGGGCAGCCTGAGAGGTAGTGAGCACAGGGCAGCCTGAGAGGTAGTGAGAACCAGGGTGGCAGGTGAGAAGGACCTGTTCCACATTGTGTTCTGGCTTGACCCAAATTAATCATTCTATTGCCTATTGTAAGTGGCATGTAAGTGAGATAAAAAAGCAGATCATTCATTATGACAATGTATCACTGAGAGTTAAAAGTGGTCGTGACTCCCAATCATGGATTGATTTTCATTTGTCTGTCATTCACCAAACATGAGCATTCTCCAAAACTTTTGGAATTCACCACTTGCATTCCTTTCTCCAATCAATGAACTCTTGTTCTTAACTTACTGCCTCCCAGTGACACAGGAGCACAGCCCCTAGCAGGAAAATAACATCTTCCAGGAATATCTGGTTTGAAGTCAGCGTATTTCTTACAATATATTCCTTTGAATGAAGCCATTTTCAGAACTTAATTTTCTCAGTCCCATACTGATTGCTTTAGCACTGTTACAAACAGATTTTACATGTCACTGGCTCTTATTAAGACCCAGCAAAATATCTCCTACTGAAAATGTGCTCCTATGCCAAATGCCTCACTGGGTAGATGTTCTACATAGAGTCATGATTCATACCCTTTACCTGCCAGTCTTCTGAGTTTTATGACTCCAGAATGAATGAGGTTTTCAGGCTTGTAGGAACTGAGATCATGAACAATTGAAAATGAATTTTGAACTGTTAAAGAATGTGCTTAGAATCAACGCTATCTGCCCACTCCACAACTGGTGAGAGATGTGAATCTAAGAAAATGTGTATGTGTGATAGGAAGTGGAGACAGCCTGGGTGGCTGGCCGCTTGGCCCTCGGAATGCATCGTTTGACTTTTCTCACATTCCAATCTATAAGTTATGTAGCTTCTATCTATAACTTTCTATAAATTATAAGAAGGTATTAGACATTGAATTAAATTAGATAACTTCCTCCCTCTGCAAACATGTTTACCTAGGCTAAATTACCTCAATCTATTTTCTTTTACCAATTAGCTTCTGAATCTTAGTGAAAAATGGAAAAGCAATGAAGTAAATCCTGGACCTGGACCTCCAAATCCTGGACCTGGACCTCAGTGCCCAGGAGCAGTTTTGGTTTCATGTATCAAGGAACACAACTTTTATCTTCTGTTCCCAGTGAATGGAATGGAGGGAATTTCCACCTGTTGGGATGTTTTACCCCAGTTCAAACCCGTAATTCCATACTGATGAATTTGTAGCGAGAAGGGGGTTCTCTTTTGGGAAAGAGCAGTACTCATTTTATTACTTGAAAATAACAGTGTAGTATTGACTTACATGAATCTTGGAGTCCTCTGTGACCTCTTACTGTCCAGATGGGAACTTTTCTGTGTGTGTGCTATGAGACTTCATTTAAGAAGGTGTTCTTTAAATACTGTTAAAATACCACAGAAATATGCACATTTTTCTCATGGGGGTTTAACTTTATTTACTGCTCTATGTAGCCTACTTTTACATATATTAATTGAGTTTTTTATTTGAGT